TACGGTCCAATTTTTCAAACATTGATATAAAGTCAAATATTTTCTTAGCTAATAGAGTAAAAATGGTCTCCGAGCTTGCAAATGAGTTACTCCCCCAATCCTTAATGTTGGATCTAACTAGAGAGTTAATGTTGGTCCTATATGTAAGATCTATTTCATTTGTTTACCAATTTTTTTTCAAATTAACCCTATTAATATTCCCCAACAATAATTAAGCAAGAGAGAGAGGGAAGAAATTAAGAAAAATGCTTATGGTATTTTAAAAAATATATATCATATTAGCTAATTTAACTAACATTATTAATCTATTTAAATTAGTTAATTAAGTCTTATATTAAAAACTGGATAAGTAACTAAATTTCATAGTCTGGGAATGCTAAATCCACAAGTCAATTGAGCTTACTCACGATTTTGATAATCACACTTAAAGTATTTTGTGGGTGAGGTCCGAGAAGCCCTTTCTAGGTATTGTTGTTGATCGAATACCGATATCTTGAATTCATAAAATCATATGCACTCTCTTCTCCTAACATGCAAATAATCAAACTACATGTATTAAAAACCTTGGTTAAAGTTAGTCAAGAACACAATGAGACAGAGGATAAGTAGAGAAAAAAATATATGTGAGAGATAATTTTAACACAATGATATAATATGTAATTAATAAGAGCAAGAATGAAAAGAGTTTGTCAAAATTTGAAAATATCCTCTAAGTATAAATAGGACTATGTCTATCTCAAAAATTATATCTTGCATATAAGATTAGAGGAAGTATAATAAAAGAGACAATGATGCAAGATAATATATTATCCACATCTCATCATCAAAGAATTTTGTTTGGGAAAACAAGAGAGAATACTCGTCGCTGAAGTAGGACCATTTTGGAGTCTCATCAATGGGGGGGGGGGAGTCTCTCAGAGAAAGTGGGCTTGAAAATGGGCCAACTTCAACGAGACCCAACTATGGGCTAAATTTGAATATGAGATTCTTAAAAAACCGCAACCAGCATCCATATATATCAACAATTGACACAGTACCAAAAACCAAAAAAAAAAAAAAACAATTGACATACCAACCAGCTGTGACAACACAAGTTTGAGTCTCAAAAAGTATATTTATTGGAAAAATTTTAACCTTAATACTTGTAACCCCATGGAGATTAAAGTTAAGTCCAAAATGATTTGAGAATACTCTGAGTTATAATAAAAAAAAACAATTGACATGATTTGGTAACAAGAGTTGATCTAATTAATAAGGAGTTAACCTATAATTTATAAGGTCTTGAATTCGAATGTCATTACTAATGTGAGGATCTTGTCAATAGGCGATCTGTAAGTGCTCTCTGAGTCTTAAGACATGTCTTGGCTCTAAGGAACACTTACTACTCACCTCGCCTAAACTTTTTGTTAGCAAGAATAAAAGAATTGACATGGTTTTCAATAAAGACAAGGATCTAACAAGTGAGACCGTGGGAGAGGGCGCAAAAGTAAGAATTAATACGTTACATTAAAGAAAAAGTTAACTGAAAAATGTAAATGCATTATAAGACCATTTTTTTTTTTGGCCAAATAAGACCATTTATTTTAAAACATAGGATACTCGGTATATAACTTTGATACATTCTCATGATTAGAAATTCCCTAAAATTGCTTAAGAAAACTGATCCACTTAATAAGGATGCAAACAGCATGTTATGAGTGTAAACTCAAATTTTTCTGTTGATATAAAGGCTTTCTTGGTGAGTAATATGTAAAGGGTTAGAGGAAATTTTTATTTAATCGGTATTAATTTTTTATAGGATACATATTTGTAATTTTTGGTTTTTTTTTCTAATTTTTCTTATCAACTAATGATCCAAATAACGGATGTTTAAAATGGCAATATTGTACTGTTTTTAATATTTTAGGAGTAAAATTACTTAATATAGTTGAGAAAATAGTTTAAGGACAAAAATAACATATATTAGATACACGTCTTTATTTTGTGAATTGTGAAACTTGCTCTAATACCAATAAATACAATATAATTCACTTAAATTTATATTCACACAAAAGCCCAGAAGAAGACTTATTGATCCCTTTTCCTCTTAAGCAAAACTTTGAGTTTAGACTTAAAATTGTCTCTAAGAAATATTTGCATCCAGGTGAAATAACTTTAATTTGAATTAATTGTCGACCAAGTTTGACAAATCCCCAAGAATTAAAAGAATCAGGGTTCTTTAGTCTAATGATACATCTAAAACCTTTTTTTATTTTTTTTATTTTTGAATGAATACATCTAAAACTTTTTTAAATGTGAAGTTGGGTTTAAATTCATTATGAGAGCGGTGTGTTATAACCAAAAAAAAAAAGAATTGTTTTTATAGATAAAAACAATGGGCTTTTGTTTTTTTTTTTATAAAGAAAAGTTTGGGTGATCTTAGGAGCTCACGAGGATCAGGACATGTTTCTAAATTTAAAGAGTATTTATAAAGATACCTATAGATCTGGGCTTTTGTTTTTCGGTTACAAAACAATAGGCTTTTATATAAGAAGGAGGGGTTGATTTGGTTCAGGTTCGATACAACTCATAAACACAGGCCCAGCTTAAATTTGGACAAATGCTTTAGTACAATACTCAAACCATTAAAGAATATTTCAAAAAAATTTTGAAGTATATTTTTAATTAAAAATCATATTAGAATAAACCTTTTTTACTAATTTATTCCTCATTATACTAAATCTCTAATGTAGCTTTCAATATTAGTATTTATTAATAATCTATTTAATATTTTTCCTAAATTTAAAAAAAATTAAGTACCTTAAGATATGAACAATTTGATCAAAAAGTTGAATAATTTTTTGACAAAGACATGTTTTATTAAATATATTTAAATATTTTTAATTATAAAATATCAATATATGAATGTCCAAATTATATAATTTTATAACTTTATAATTTAATTGGAGATACACAGATATATGATTGTAAAATATTTTCAGTAAATATATATATTTATAATATTACACCCCAGGTAAGTTTTAAAAAATAAATGAGATTAAATATGAAATATTTATTAAAAAATTATATTTATATAATCAATCAAACTTGTAGTATGATAGTCAATTTAATAGTATAATAACAAATATTAAAATATGTTTTAATTTATTTTTTGATTTCGGATAAAGATATGTCACATATGATTGGATGATAATCATTAAGTAATATTTGTGTTAAGGAGAGGAATTTCAGTTGGATAGATGAAAGTTGAATATCAAAATTAGAAAGGAAGTTTGTATGACTTGTATATTTTGATTTTAATAGAAGTTTATATAGGTTTTCAAAATAAATCTAGAGTCTCATAAGACTTAGTTGTGATTGAATCTAAAGTATATTTACCAATTGGCAATATATATCGCAATAGTTGTTAATATAGCTAGTCTAATTATTAATATTAAGTGTATTGTGCATATTAATATTATTTGTTAATATATACTGCGACAGCTATTAATATAACTATTTTAATTATCAATAACAAGTGTGTGGTGCATCGGATTAACACAGAAAATATAGCCAAAAAATCCGATTGCAATAGCAACATCCAAAATATCAATGTGTAGTGCATGTAATTTTTAGTTGTTGATACATATCTCGATAGTTGTTAATGTAATTTTTTGAGTTTCTAATGATAAACTAGAAACTTCTCATGGCGCTGCGGACGCATTGGCCAAAGAAGCTCTTGATATTGAGATAGGAGCTGTCTTTTTTAGTTCTCCACCTAGTTTCTTAACGCCTCTTCTTTCTTCGGATATAGACTGGTAGCTTTTACTTTTGTTTTGCATCGAAAAAAAAGGAAACTTCTCCCCATGCCATGCATGGATTGGTTCATGCAGCGAGATGTCAGATTCTAATAATATTAATTCTAATTTTTTTGTTTTCTTTCTAAGAATCATGTTAATGAGGAACAAATATCATGATAAGTAATGTCAAATGCTCGCTTTCGCATTCACGTAAAATGAAACGTTTCGCTCACCCAATAAAAATAAAAAAAAATAAAACATTAATGCGAAAGAACGAGAAGGAGAAGAAGATTACTACTTGTTACCTCATGCTCCCTTTCCTTCTTGTTCTTGTATTCTTTCTCTTTCCAATTCTTTCTCAGCTTAAAATCAAATATGACGTATAAGCCTGTGAAATTTAAGGTCGGCACAAGGAAAAAGAAATCATAATGAATTTTAGAAGTTATTTCGAATTAAATGAACTTATAATAAGTCGGTCAATATTCAATTAAACCATTCAATTTGATAAATTATTTTTAATTCATTCTTATATTAAATATTTTTCAAATGTGATTTTTATTGAATTTACTTTTTGGGGATAAATTTAATTTAATATATAAAGCGAGTTTTTTTAAAAAAAATAATTTAGTTATAAGAGTTTGATTAATTAGTTAAAAAATTTATAATTACTTGGGAATATTAGATGAAAAAATTAATACTTTAAACAAAATAAGTTATATTATGAAATGTGTTAAAAACTCCTATAATGAAGATTGGAGGAAGTAATGTGCAAATATGTAATAAAAAAGCAATAATAAATATACCTTTTGTGTGAAAAAGAATGACAGAACGATTGAGAATTCTGATTTCAGACAGCATTTTGTGCTTCGATATTTGTCCTTTTTTTTATTGGGTTGATTTTTTTTAGCTTTTAAATTTTAAGTTCATTTTAGTTTTGTTTCTTAAAATTTAATATTATTTTTAGCTTTTAGAACAATGTTTTTAATTCATAAAATCAGTTTTTGAGCACTAAAACTAGTGTCGAATTTTGGGAACCCAAATTAAAATCAAATCAAATTTTCGGACAAGAAAAAAATATGATATACCAGGAAATTCATGGATAAAAATGGTCTTTTCAATTCGACACCGTCCTTTCCCACGCTATTTAAAAGGCGGAGGACGCTTTTCCAAATTCTAAGCTCGAAAATATCAGACTCTTTGTTGCTTTTCTTCGCTGTTCTGTGCTCTCTCTCTGTTTCGCTCTGTTTCTACCTTCCAAATTTGAGATTGAAACCATGGCGTCTTTGTCCCAAATCAATCAATTTCGCTGCAAAGCCCTTTCAGTAACCCCTTCGGCTTCTAATTTTATGCCTAAACCTTCAATTTCTCTGCCATGCATGGTTGAATTTTCCGGTCAATCCATCAGAAAACGGAACAGTTCGCTACGGCCGGTTTTGTGTGTTCGAGCAGTGACGGACGACGACGAATGGGGTCCTGATAAGAAGAAGGAGGAGGAGGGTTCAGCGGTGGCAGTGGCTGTCGCGGACGAGAAGGCGGCGGAGGAGTCGGAGACTGATCGGCTGAAAAAGGCGTTGGTTGATTCGTTTTATGGGACCGATCGAGGACTGAAAGCGACGAGTGAGACGAGGGCAGAGATTGTGGAGCTTATCACGCAACTTGAGGCCAAGAACCCAAACCCTGCGCCTACTGAGGCATTGGCACTCCTCAATGGAAAATGGATTCTCGCGTAAGATTTCCTTGGACTCGTTTCATTTTCTGTTTGGTTTTAGCGAAATATTCTAAACTAATCTAGACACCAGAATATTAAGATAGGTTTTTTTTTTGGCCAACAAGAATATTAATATAGTTACTTGTAATTGGGCTTGATCCATCGGATGCGTTAGGGTATGAGTTAAGTGTCTTTGATGAAAATAAAGTCGTGAGATATCCTTAAGCTATGAGATGCCAACACTGGTAGTTGGTATGGTTGAAGGAATTCAATGTTTCATAGGCAGGATAAAAATGTACTGGAATTGTTATCTTTACTTTAAGGCCTAACAATACTCAAATTTAAATTAGCTGATAATATTATATGTTAAAAGGAATTAAAAGGTCATAACAAACTAATTTTGGGAGATGAAGATTCTGCAAGTGCAATCTAAAAGTGATTGTGTGTCAATTTTTCTCTCTTGATAGCCCTTATTTTAAATAAAAAAAAATCGTATACAGGGTATATTTATCTACTAATACAAGATTGGGCTTCTTTCCCATATTATATTCATTTAATACAAAAGATCTAATGTCTTATTGATTATGGGGTTTAGGATGAATTGTCATTATATGCATGTGATTAAATTAACAGTTTGATTGTTAAATTGTTAGATTCGTTTTAATCTTAAATTTTGAAATTTTAATAAATAGACAAGTCCCTAAAAATAATACGTTCGTTATTGTCAAATTCTTATTAGTTGTCCTTAAATATTATGGGGGGAAAGGCAAACTTATAATTATTTTTAAAGGGTAATTTTATATTTATTAATTTCAACTGCGAAAAACAAAAACCAAAAATTACTTTTTTCAACCCAAAAGGCTTAATTACTTTTTAATTTAGTTTAACCATAATTGGACTTGTCCTAACATCTCTATTTGCAGTTTTCGTTAGGTCTATAATATATAGGATAGCTAGAAGATTAGTTTGGTGACTGACTTAAAGTTTTAGGCGCATATAGTTTGGTATGCGGTCCTGGGGCATTAAAATTCGCATTAGATGAGTTCAATATTTGAATTTGGAAAAGTTAGGTGATTCCTACTTGCAAACGCTAAAAAAGCATTTAAAGAACTTAAAGGAGCTTTGTCACTTTGGTGCACATAGGAAGCCATATCATATCTTGCACCAGCAACCCACTGTTCAATTCAACTGGACACTTGATTTTTAGAATAATAGGTTAATATAATATTTAGTCTTTGAAATTTGACTTCATTTTTGTTTTGTTCCTTGAAATTTAAAACTAGTGTTTGTGGTCAGTGTTTTTTATCCTTAAAATTTACTTCGTTTATAAATGTCAATTCCTATAAATTAAATATGGTTTCAAATTTCAAGAACAAAAAGCACTAGTTTCAAATTTTAGAAACTAAAATCAAAATGAGAACAAATTTTAGGAACAAGAGATTGTCTGCAATAATCATTAATTTAATGGAACTATAATTGAACTTGTTGTAACCTTTCTGTTTGCAGTTTTTATTAGGTCTATAACATATAGGATAGTGAAAAGCTTAGTTTGATGAGTTAGTCAGAGATTTAGGCATGTATAGGTTGGGCATGTGGTCCTGGGCATTAAAATTGGCATTAGATGAGTTTGACATTTGAATTTGGAGAAGTTGGATGATTTTTACTTGGAAACGCTAAAAAAGCATTCAAAGAACTTAAAAGAGTTTTGTCGCTTTCATGCGTATAGGAAGCTATATCATATCTTGCACCATCAACTGACTCTGAAATTCAACTGCATACTTGACTTTTTGAATAATCATTAAACTCAAAATTACTTCATATCAATTCCATATTTCTCTGCATTGAAATAACACTATTACAATTTTTACATTTTTTATTATAGCAAAATAAATATTTAAGCCTTTGCCTATCTCAAAGGATCAATAATTGACTGAATCTCAATAATCAAAATGATATATTATATGGGGCGTATTATTCTCTTTCCTCTTGAGAGATGACCTAACCATATAAATCTCCTAGGGCCAGAAGGATATAAATCCCAACTCTATGCCGTAGCGTTTTTACGCAAGGGTTGATATTGAATCCAAAAATGTGTGGCCCAGATACAAACTTAACCTCAATGGAATTGGACTCTATACATTGCATATGGCTCGAAGAAATAAATTTTATTATTCATTACTTATGAGATTAGAGCTAGTAGAAGGGGCTAGTGTCTTACAATGTGGCAAATCAAAGTTCAAATCTCTACTTGGAAAAGTGCTCACATTTAGTTCCCGATAGTGTCTCGAAAATGGTTGCATTGAATAACTATGCTTATAAAAAAAGTCATATTATTCATTAATTATGAGTTGTGCATCTTGTTCCTCAGAGATGTAACGTGCAAGAAAGTATCATGATAGGTTGAATTTCATTGTGATTATTGGGTATTTGTGGTTGTACAGGTACACATCTTTTGCAGGTTTGTTCCCACTATTGTCAAGGGGAACACTTTCCCTGGTGAAGGTAGAGGAAATATCTCAGACCATTGATTCTCAAAACTTCACCGTTCAAAACTCAGTTAAGTTTGCTGGCCCTTTGGCTACCACCTCAGTCAGCACCAATGCCAAATTTGAAGTTCGCAGCCCACAACGTGTTCAGGTTTGCCTTCAATCCCACAATGTTTTAGGAATTTTGAGGGGCTAAAGTCCTATAGAAGGATGAACTCAATGTGACTAACGTGTTTGGTGTTTTTTTTTTCTATGAACCTTGTGTATGTTTGAGGTCTTGACTAATGAAATCCTATGATGTTTTTACAAATTTTGAGGGACTAAGTCCTGCAAAAGGATGAATTCAACGACTTAGGTGTTAGGTGTATCATAAACCACGTTGTTAATTTTAATTCTTGCCTAAGGAAACTAGCTTCCTGCTTTTGAACATTGTTCAGATCAAGTTCGAGGAAGGGATCATTGGCACCCCACAGCTGACAGACTCGTTAGTGATCCCGGAAAACGTGGAGTTCTTGGGACAGAAGATTGACCTGACACCTTTCAAAGGAATACTCAACTCTGTGGAAGACGCAGCCTCAAATGTTGCCAGAACAATTTCCAGTCGGCCTCCATTGAAAATCCCAATCAGCAACAGCAATGCCCAGTCATGGTTACTTACTACATACCTAGACCAAGAACTTCGCATCTCCCGGGGTGATGGTGGTAGTATATTCGTCCTCATCAAGGAGGGAAGCTCCCTGTTGTCAAGCCTAAGCACTTAGTTTATTCTTAGCCCGTTGAAAATGCATGTTCAAAAGTAATAAACCTTTGATAGGCGCTAGGTTTGAGCACATTTGTGTAATGGGATTTGGAAATGCTCTGTGCTTATTCGTGGTGTATAGGTGAAGTGTTTGTATGAGAAATAAGAATGGTTGAGTTAATACTAAATGCTTTATGCATATGGGTCAGAACCCTAGCCGAAATTATTGTGACCTATTGCACTGTATCAAATCAAAATATACTTAAAAGAACTACAAAAACGGATAGCCATTAGTATATGAACGAATTCTTGTACATCTCATTCTAAACCCTTTCAATGGAAAACGGAAGAAATTTTTCTGAGTAGGTGTGACTCCCGAGTGCTCCCCATCAACATCATCATGGAAATGGTTAACTAAATCTGAACGTAATCCACGATCAGCCCCTACGTCAAACTTGCCTTCGTATTTAAGAAGACCGATATCCCAAGAATAGAGTGTGAGGAGCTGGCTTGTGTTCCAAGTCTATAATTAGGCGTCACACATGGTGATCATGAACCCAAGATTCTTTGGCGTGTAGATGCAAAGAAGTGGTCGGAAAAGTAATGACACCAATTGAAGTGTCATGCTGACGAGATAAAGCATCAATTGTAATACTCAAATCAACTTTGTCTTGTATATTTATCTATTTTTTTAAGGTAGTTCTTGTAGTAGTTGCACATATTAGATATTTCATCAAATAGAAATTTTAACTAATACACATAATTAGTAAGAATATTTTTAAAAAGATAACACTTATTTATTATAAATAGCTAATTTAAATAATTTTTTTAATCTATTCAAATTAGTCAATTAGCTCTCATATTAAGAGTAGGACGTAGTATTCTATTTCATAAGTAAGGCATCAAAGTTTATTGAATTATCTCAGTTGATCCAGGGAGACAAACTTCTGTTATAATAGATGTTTCAATGGCAAATGATCTTTCTTGATAGTGAACACATGCCCCACGAGACATGATCACCATCGCTTCAAGGCAAATATAATTGCCATCAATTCAAGTCAATAAGCAAATAGGACTCTCTTGCGTGGGCTCATATCCTTGTTTGCAAATGACAAAGGATGGCCTAATTGTGTCAGAGCAGCCCCCACGCTTCCTTGATGCATCCTTATCAATAATCATCTCGTGTAACCCGCAATAGTCCGCATAGAAATGTTATGGACCATCCTTGTAAACCAAGACAACCGGCTCGGTAAATGGACTGTGACTGGGTCAAATAATACCTGTTTGAAGCATTTAGCGAACATGCTTCCTAGAAGGTGTTTGGATAAAAACAAAACTATAGTTTCAGAAGTATTTTTACGGTATAAAAAGTAAATATGTGGAGGAGTCTGTTTCGATTTGTAAAAAAATATTTCTGGGGTTACCCAAACACTCTTAATCTCATCCTTTTGGAGATCTCCATAGTGATAAGGCTTGCAGCTTGCTGTCGATATCATGAGTGGGGGGGTTAGCGTCACTGGATTAGAGAAAACGTCTTAAAAAGAACAAAGGACCTCTTTGAGTTGGCATTGACAAGAATGGGGAAGGAAGAAATTTGGCGCGCATTAAAAGTCTCATATGTATTAGACCTTACTTGGACCGAAAAGGGGTGTTAGGCGTTTAACAGGCTGTGGATGTTCACATGGTCTTGGCGTGGCCCATTATCATGCAGACCCAGACCATGTACTCCCTCCGTTCCTTATTATAAGAGACATTTGATGCTTATAGCATGTTCCTAAATATAAGAGACACTTAAAAGTTGTCTCTACTTTTTTGTGTTGATTTCCTATTTTACCCATATTTATTGTCTCCAACTCACACTCTCTCTCCTTCCCACTTCTCTTTCTTTTAAGAATTTACTATTGTTCTCTCTCATGCTCTTTCTCCTTATTAATGAGGGTATTTTTGGAAAAAAAATTATACTTTTTACACATTCATTGTTCTTAACTAATTTTAACTGTTTTTTTGATCAACGTAATTCGGTTATTCGTCTCTTATAATAAGGAACGGAGGGAGTAATTCATAATACTTTTCCGTATATATAAAAGCTACACCATATATATATGTGTGTGTGTGTCTTTATTAGGGGTGTGCATGAAACCCAAATACCCGCTGAGCCAACCTGAGCCTGAAGAAAAATTACCTAGCCCAGCCCGTAAAAAAAGAGCTCGAAAAAGAATAGACATTTTTGGGCAAGGCATTTCATGGGCAGGGCTGGGCATCAGGCAGAACATGCTGCCCTACCCATTTGGTCCTACCCAGATTATATATATATATATATATATATATTATAATTTATGAAATAATATCAATATATTACATTTCTTTACCCAAAAAAAAAGTTATCCCACTCCTATTTGCAATTTAATTTATTATTGTAACATGTCTGTTAGTTTTTTATTTTAGGGGATCTAATTCTTCTAAAGAAGCAATAGTATCTTGCTTTTAATTTGTTCTTTGTGAGCTTTATTGGGTATATCCTATTGTGTATTGTTGCTGTAATGTTGGCTATTTATAAATCAGTCTTCCTCTCTATGCTATTAACAAATTTTTTTTGTTAGAGAATGAAGTTCATATATTACATATTTATATAAATAAAAAATTTTGAATATTTATACCAGATAGAAACTTTGTAATATTATTTGCTTTATAAAGTGGATATTATGTTTGCAACAAGAGGTAGTAATGGATTGAACTGTGTCCCACCCATTGAGATAATGTAAGGGAAATACATATTGGCATTTAGTTCATGGGGAGCGAGAAGATTAAGTTTCTGTGGACAGAAACATCAGAAGGTGATAGCATCTTATGACTTTTATGGTCCCATTGGTACGAGGGAGATAAGGATGAGCTGGATTTAAAAAAATTAAAAAAATGGGGTTAAAAGTTTTTAATTATTTTTGTTACTCTTTTATCTTGCATATTTTTTTACGAAAATTTTATAACCCCACTTTTCTAATTTTTTAAATTGGGTTTATTAAAATTTTTCCTCCCCTCCCCTCCTTCTGAATTCCCTCATACCAAACATAAGGGTGGGGAAATGTGAGCTGGAAAATATTGACATCTCAAGTGGAGCAAGAGGATTAGGTTTAGCAAATGAGTACAAACGTTAGCTAGAAAGGTTTGGTTCACAGCCTCACGCACTCGCAATTATATGTTCCGTCCACTTTTATATTGACGAGGCCTTGCAATATTAGCCGGAGAGTGCAATATTACAAATAAAACATGGACTCCATTGTTGGAGGAAGATCAAAACTCCACGCAGTAATTACGCCATTTCCAGCTCAAGGCCATCTAAACTCCTTCCTGAAATTAGCCAAAGTTCTTCATTCTAAAGGCTTTCACATAACATTTGTGAACACTGAGTACAATCATAGACGCTTGCTAAACTCAAGGGGTTGTAAAGTTCTTTCTAGCCTCCCTGATTTTTGCTTCGAAACCATTCCTGATGGGCTTCCTCCGACAGATTCTAATGTTACCCAACACCTACCTTCCCTTTGTGAATCAATCAAAAAGAACTGTCTCCTCCATTTTACAAAGCTTCTTGTGAAGCTTCATGATCTTGGCCCCCTAGTTACTTGCTTGATTTCTGATATTGGTATGACGTTTACAGTACGAGCTGCTCAAGAATTTGGAATTCCTATTGCTATTTACAGCCCTATCAGTGCTGCTTCCTTTTTGGGTCTTTGGCACGGTGGTACTCTCCTTAATAAGGGTGTCATCCCCTTGAAAGGTACCCTATACCAGTATTAATATTAAGGACAAAGCTTATGTCAAGTTTCTTATATCCATTTGGTCAAGTTCTCTAATCACACTTCTTGTTTTGTTATTTTTAGTAGTTAAAATGCATATATGCACTTATAGTTTCACCTATGAACACTTGTATAAATTTTTGTATCAGCTCATATGATGTAAATTAGGCTTTATAAATTTTCATAGGGACACTAATTATTATGCTACTACTAGTTGTTACAATGGATATGTGCACTTATAAATTCACCTTTGAAATATGGATACGTTGTTATTTTGTTATTGTTAGTTGTTAAAATGTGTATGTGCACCTGTAATAAATTTACCTATAAAATTAACTTAATGGATATAAATAACTTAACCCAAATTTTATCCACAAAATAAAATTTATAGTAAGTTGAACTGTTTACAAGTTTTGGATATATATTAATGTACTCCATTCTTTATACTCTACAATGCATAGGAAAACGTGTTATGTGTAAGATACTTACACATACTTTACTATAAAGTGATAGATCTTTGACAACATTGTAGTATGATTCTTTTTCTATCTTTTCGGTGCAGATGAGAGTTATCTCACAAATGGGTACTTAATTGGATATGGAACTAAATTGGCTTCCAGGCATGAAAAACATGAGATTAAGGGACCTTCCTAGTTTTTTTAGCACACTGGATCAAGATGACTACTACATGCTAAATCATTGTATCAATGAATTACAAGCAGCTCAAGCAGCTCAAGCCATAATTTGTAACACATTTAGTGAGTTGGAGAATGACACACTAGAAACTCTATCTTCTATGTTCCCTCCATTTTACCCCATAGGTCCTATCCCTTTGCTTCTCTCTCAAAGTCTACAAAAGCATGAGTTGGACTCCATTGGCTCCAATCTTTGGAAAGAAGAGGATGAATGCATCAATTGGCTCAATTCCAAGAAACCCAAATCCGTAGTTTATGTGAATTATGGAAGCATCACAATTATGTCCTCAGAGAAGTTGTACGAGTTTGCCTGGGGTTTAGCTAATAGCAAGAAACCATTCTTGTGGATCATAAGACCTGACCTTGTAAATGGCGAGTCAGTGATTCTATCTCCCGAGTTTTTGAATGAGACCAAAGATAGAGGCTTCATAGCAAGTTGGTGTGAACAAGAGAAAGTGTTGAACCACCCTTCAATCGGAGGATTCTTGACCCATTGTGGATGGAACTCCATGACGGAAAGTTTGTGTGCTGGGATTCCAATGCTTTGTTGGCCCTTTTACGGTGATCAACAAACTAATTGTCACTATGCTTGCACAGAATGGGGCATTGGGCTTGAGATTGATTGTAACGTCAAGAGGGAAATTGTAGAGAGGCTTATAAACGAGCTGATGGATGGGAAAAAGGGGAAGGAAGTGAGACAAAAGATCTTGGAGTGGCAGAATATTGCAAAAGCCGCAA